TCTCTCTCTCTCTCTCTCTCTCTCTCTCTCTCTCTCTCATTTCTTTCACCTCTCTCTTCTCTGTCTCTGTCTCTTCCCTCTCTCTGTCTCTCTCTCCTCTCTGTCTCTGTCTTTTTTCTCCCTCTCTCTTTCTCCTTTCTGTCTCTGACTCTGACTTTGTGTCTATGTCTGTCTCATCTTTGTACCCCCACTACCAGGCATGATGTCTGCTACATGGTAGGCATTTAATAAACATTTATTAAATTGAACTTTAAGGTAAGCAAATAATGTTCATAGGATCACAGCTACAGAGTTAAAATGTTATCCCAAATGTCATCTAGTCCAATCCTTTCATTTTATAAATGAGGAAATTCAAGCCCAGAGTAGATAGAGGACTTGCTCAAGGTCACACCAGTGGTAAGTGGCAGAACAGAGATTTGAACTCAGGTCCTCTGATGGCAAACCTGGAATTCTGCTTCTCTATCATGCTGCCTGTCTCAAGGAAGTTGCTGTGGCTCAGCATTCAGTAAGGGAGGGTGAGGAAGAGGGAGATCCGGGAAGGGGGCCAATTGGCAGGGTTAGGAGCATTCAGTAGGGATGCTGATAATGAGGAGGCCGAGAAGGATAGGAGGATGCACTTAGGGCATTTATCTCCATAGTGTCCACATCATTCACACCACAGAGCTTAGGAGAAGCAGTGTTGTAAGAGGGTTGGCCATGGTGATAGGAGACCTCCATCTGCGTACGCAGTAGGCTAGGTCTGGAGACCAGAACATTAGCTTAAATTCTTCCTCTGCACCTTTTTAGCTGTGTGACCCTGGGCAAATCACCAGCATGTCTCTGAGCCTCAGTTGCCCATCTGTAAAGTGGTGATAATAATAATAATAGTGCAGGGCTGCTGTGAGACTCAAATGAAATGAAAGTACTTTGCACTCCTTAAATGTCAGCGATTATAATAAAATTAGAACAATATAATTTTCACTGCCTAACTTCCAGAGCTGTTCAGAGGAAAAGCACTTTGGAAAGCTTTAAGGGCCCCTGCTTGTCCCTGAACAGGAGGTTCCTTTCTCTTTTCTAGAGGTAGGAGATGGTAGGTATGGGATAATACACACAAACATAGGTACATGCACACACACACATATAGGTGCACACATACATGTATACATGTATGTACATGCATGCACATTCATGTGTATTGTGTCTGTATGTATACTCTCAAACATAATTGCCATGTTGGTTAGTTTTGCTGAACTGCCTTTTTATCTTCTTTATTATTTGTTTCAAGGGATGACTTACTGGGTATAATTGGGAGAGATGTAGTTGAAAATGAAAATGATATAAAAACTAAAGATTTCAATAAAATAAAAATAATAAAAATATTAAAACCCTACGTGAGGTTTTTTATCAGAATGATACTTTGGGGATCTATGATTTCACTGCTGGGGATGGGGTGGGAGGGTGTCCCTCCATCAGCATTGATCATAACCCCTCTATGACTTCAAGGTACTTAGCCTGATAAATTTACGATTCCGCAGTCAACCAGCAGCTGAGCGTCTCTAGACTTAGGAGTGCTGGTCCTTGGATGACAGACGAGTTGGCAGTGCATCCCCGGCCTGCATCTGTAGTCATTTCAGCCTGGTCAGCTTCCAGGCATGTGATCTGTAGGAATAGACTTAAAGAGCCAAGGGTCATTACCAGGCCAAAAGAATACATCAGAAGAAGAAGACCTTGGTGAAGAATTTTTGGTAAAGGTAGGCAGGTAAAGGTGGTGGGGGACTGGGCCTGTCTAAAGAATTCCTGGTGAGGAAACTCTTATTGACAGTAACAATAATGATGATGATGGTGATAATAATGGCTAATATTTATATAGGTTTTCAAAATACTTTTCATAGATTATCTCATTTGATCCTTATAAAAGCTCTGTGAAAGAGGCACTATTATCTTCCTTTTATAGATGAGGAAACCAAGGCTGGTAGAGGTTAAATGACTTCACCAAAGACACACAACTAGGATGTTTTCTGAGGCAGGGCTTAAGCCCACATCTTGACTTGACTCCAAGGCCATCTTTTTATCCACAATAAGGCCTTGCCTTACAGTATTCCTATCTTTTACTTTTGTATTTATTTTTATTGTATTTTATTTTTATTGTAGAGGCTGGGCAGGGCTTTCAGGAAAAGAGTGACAAGGGTGATCTATTGGACCCTGGAACCTGGAGGGGAGGTCTCCATCAAGCTGCCTTTGCAGTCACCTCGATGAAAGGAGGGAGTGCTGTGACTTGCAATTCTGGTACCTGGAGTAAGGGGTGGTACGGGACACTTCCCCATTTATAGAGATATGACTGTTAGCGAGGGACGTTGCTATCAGCAGAGGGAAGGGAGCAGCCTGAGGAGGAACTCCCTGAGAAGAAGCCAGTCGTCTGGTAGCTCTCTATTTATTTATTTTTTAAAATTTTTTATTAATTTATTTTGATTTATCAGCAATCACTTCCGTAAACTTTTGAATTTTAAATTTTTATCCCCCTCTCTCTTCTCCTCTTTCCCCAAGATAGCTTGCAATCTGATATAGGCTCTCTGTATACATTCCTATTAAACATATTTCACATTAGTGATGAGTAGCCCTCTATTTAACAAACTAGATACTCAACTAATTATAGATCGGGGCTGGGAACCTGCGGCCCCGAGGCCACATGTGGCCCTCTAGGTCCTCAAGTACGGCTTTTTGACTGAATCCAAACATCACAGAACAAATCCCTTTAATGAAAGGATTTCTTCTGTAAAACTTGGACTCAGTCAAAAGGCTGCGCCCAAGGACCTAGAAGGCCACATGTGGCCTTGAGGCTAGGGAGTTGACCTTGGAGTTGGAAGACCTGGGATCAGTCTAGTCTCTGACACATACTAGCCATGTGACCATAGGGATCTCACTTACCCACTCAATGTCCCAGGCAACTCTATAAGATCGTAAGTTGCAGACCCATTGCCAATAGTATCCATGGAGAAAGTTTCCATGCTGGGAGTTCCCTTCACTAACAAAATTGCAGATCTGGACCAACCACCCAAGTCCCCCCAAAAGATTCTGAATTCATTTGTTTCTACATGCTAAATAGTAGAGAAGAGCACTAGACTTAAAGTTAGCAAGAGCTGGGTTCAAATCCTTCCTTGGCCACTAGCTGTGTAATTCTTGAAAAATCATTTAAGCGCTGTCTCAGTTTTGTTTTTCCTATTTGTAAAATGAAAGGACTGTAATCAATAATGTTTAAAGTCCTTTCTAGATCTAAATCAACACCCTGTCAGCACCCTCTAAGTTTTGGCACCCTGGAGCAAAGCCCCACTCACCCTGCCTTAATTCTGGTTCTGGTTCAGAGGATGCCTGAGGAGAGTCAGCAATATCAGTAAAGGTGTACATTTAGGTGAAGGGATGCTGAGGGAAGACTGAAAAGTTGTGGGGTACAAGGTGAGAAATTGAGGATGTGGGAGATGTCTTCTCTGTGCATTTTGTATGTATGAGTGTTTATGTGTAAGCGCCTCTCCGCTCTGTGGGTTACATCAGAATTGTTGATCTTTGATCTAGAAGGAGCTTAGAGGTTGATGTAGCTAAGCCCCTTTGTGTCAGTGAGGCTCAGATAGGCAAGTTGAGCACAATTTCTGACTTGTCTGTGTACTCCTTTTTTTACATCCTTGGAAACTTCACAGGATAGGACACATAGATACTTGCATCTCACTGAGGTGCAGGGGACTCTTCCCTCTGGTGCATGAACATAAGATTTATATTATGTCCTATATTAGCACCTTGGATACCGGCTCACTTTAATGGTGTATAAATTTTTTTAAAAAATCCTGGGCAGCTAGGTGGCGCAGTGGATAGAGCACCAACCCAGGATTCAGGAGGACCTGAGTTCAAATCTGGCCTCAGACATATAACACTTACTAGCTGTGTGACCCTGGGCAAGTCATTTAACTCCATTGCCTAACCAAAAAAACAAAACAAAACAAAACATTTAATAAAAAAAAAAAATCCACCACAGAGACATCCACAGGGGAGGAAAAGCATCTTAGTAACAACTTAGTAACTAGTTCCCTAGTGTGGAGGCAATGCCACATAGTTGCTAACAAGAAGTTAGGCTTAAAGTCAGGAAGACGTGAGTTCAAATCCTGCTTCTGACCTATATTACCTGTGTGACTCTGAACATATCATTTAAACTCTCAGTCTTCTAGGCCAGTGGTGTCAAACTCAAATAAAAATGGGAACCACTAATTCATGCATAAAGATCTCTGGAGGATCATATAGGGACTTGGTTTTAAAATGTAATGTTATCTATGTTTTATTGTATTTTTTATTTTCTTTAGTATTTC